TCAGAGCCGAATAAACAGTAGACAGCTGGCCTGGGACAACGGCACCTCAGTTAATGATTAATGCTGTTAATGAACAAATCAAGAAAGCTCTTGATACTTTCCAGAACTCTTTACTCACAGCCAGCGATGTGCTGACCCTTAAAGGCCCCTCGTCACGGGTCTGTGGTAGAAGTGCTTTGGAAAGGAGAGGCAGAACATTTCAGTCACAATTTGTATCATTATTGTCCCCCCTGAAAAACGCCAGATACGCGTGAGTCAGCAACGGTATGGACTGGCTGTGTTTTTTTATGTTTAAACAGTACTAATGCAACATTGATACTGTGTTTAGCCTCAAATGCTGATGTAATCATCACAATATAAGCAATTTCCTGTGCTGAGAGAGCTTCTGCTAAGAACGTAAATTCAGATCAGCTACAAAACACAATGTTAGCATTGATCCTCCGCTGTGACGGTGAAAGCTTTGAGATCTATGGGATATCCTTACGATGTTTATTTCGCTTGTGCACAGACCCCTCGCAAATCACTGATAAATGGCTATTCATGTAAGTGATAACAGATGTGAGGGTCTCATTGAGAGCCACTGAAAGTGTGTTCTGTATGATGTGTAAAAGCGCTGTGTGTTCGACCCTCCATTTACAGAGGTGGCAGGTGTTCCTCCGTTCTCCAAAAAAGCAAGTTTTTATGTTCCTCCTCAAGTTAGTTACTTGGTTTCCATGGAAATGCTCAACAGAAAGAGTCTTGTCTTAAGGGGCCTGTGCCGGGGAAGGCTTTACTAGCTGCCTGGACTGGACTGGAAAAGGGAAAAAAAGATGACAAATCAATCCAACATGGAAAAGCAACTGAGCATTGTCTCTGTGCCTGATGCTGAGATTGAATGGAGATGTTCAGAGCAGATGTTTCATATGAGAGAGTGCTGGGCTTTCACAGCACAGATAGCGTCATTGAATTATCTTAAAGTGTTCTCTTTATAAGCAACAATTTATTTATAAAGCGCACTTACACAATTTTAAGGCTGTTCTATTATTGTTATCTATACAGAAAATGGCAAGACTTCCTGAGACTGAAGATGAAACATCGGGTAGAATCTAGATACCTGCTATCATATCTGTTAAATTAGTATCAGTGCTTAGTGGTGTGAGTGGTAGTTAAATTAGCCTATAACTAAAGAATGAGTAGTGTTTTATTTAGCAAGTACACATTAAAGTGATCAAAAGTGGAAGACATTTATAATGTTACAAATGATTTCTATGTCAAATAAATGCTGTTCTTTGAACTTTCTATTAATCAAAGAAAAAATCACGTTTCCACAAAAATATTTGGCACAACTGTTTTCAATATTGATAAAAAATAATTCTTTCTTGAGCAGCACATCATCATATTAGAATGATTTCTGATCATTCTGATAATTTGACACTGAAGACTGGAGTAATGGCTGCTGTAAAACAGAAAACAGATATTTTAAATTGTAATAAAATTTCACAATATGATTGCATATTACTGTATTTTTGATCAAATAAATGCAGCCTTGGTGAGCATAAGAGACTTTTTTCAACTTTTGAACGGTATTTGCAACCTGAACATTAGCTGCATCTCAGTTTATTAGACTCTGAATGAGGTTCCCACTCCAGTTCTGCAAGTTTGAGTAGTTAACTTCTAAAGTTAAATGTTGCTTGATACAACTGAAGTGCTTTATAGGGATAGTTCACCCAAAATTGAAAATTCTGTCATCATTTACTCACCCTCATATCATTCCAAACCTGTAAGACTTCCTTTTCTTGAGGAACACAAAGAAGATATTTTGAACAATGTTTACAATGTTTCAACTGTTTGTCCATACAATGAAAGTCAGTGGGGTCCAAACCATCATCATTGGACCCTTTAACTTGAACTGTATGGACAAAACAAAATGCAAAAAAAACAATGAGACATTTTTCAAAACATCTTTCTAAAAGGATATTACTGTTACAGAAAATAATGATTTTGATATGTAATCTCCTTCATCCATATATGTAAACCAAACATAAGGTTGTTTTATCATTAAAGGGGTCATATGATGTTGCTAAAAATAATTTGGTGTATTTGGTGTAATGAAATGTGTTTATGTGGTTTAAGGTTCAAAAAACACATTATTTTCCACATACTGTACATTATTGTTTCTCCTCTATGCCCCGCCTTTCTGAAACGCGTCGATGACGGAAATGTTAGCTAGATCTGCTTTATGCACCAAGAGCTTGTAACACTCCAAAGAGAAAGGAAAAATTTTAATTGCATCATATGACCCCTTTAATAAACCACACAGACACTGCGTTTGGGGTGTGGTCAGCAGTTATTCTCTGTGCTGGGGGACAGTGAATCGATTAAGAGTAACATGAGGACTGTCGAGATCACTTTCACAAATGCTGCCTTCATGTGTGGCTGAATCTGATTTGAGAAAGCCGATCTGAGAGGCTAACCAGACTGGTGTCTGGTTAGAAGTGTATGGGGTGGAAAGGTAATCTGGTAGAATGTCACCTGCTCTCCACTAGAGAGAGAGTCTCTCTTGCATAGACAGACTGATCCCCATCTGCCACTCAAGCTTCTCAAATAACCACAGAGATTGTCATTTAAAAAGCATTGATAGTGTATGATTGGACCCTTTCATCTAGACCAGGGCTAGGCAACTTCAGTCCTGGAGGGCCACTGTCCTGCAGAGTTTAGCTCCAACCCTAATCAAACACACCTGCCTGTAGATTTCTATTGATCTTGCAGACATTGATTAGCTGTGTGGCCCATTAGCATTATTCCAGTGTGGCCCTCCAGGACCAAAGTTACCCAGCCCTGATCTAGATTACTGTACACTATGTTTAACCAGCAGTCATTGTAATGATGATACACAAAACATATGCAAAAAGACATATAAAACGATTGAAGTTTTATAGATTCTTACTCTAATTAGAACCTAAAATCTCAACAGCCTAAAAACTTTAACTCTAGTGAAGCAACAGAATTCACATCTCTTGATGCTTTTATACAATTGTGTGGCAATATAAACAAATATTGTAAAGGCTTTCCAAAAAGTCACTGAAAAAAATAGTTATTTTAAAGAAATAGCAAAAAAACAGGAAATTCTCACCACATTTACATATTTCGTTTTGTTTTTTTTTCTGACTAAATTATTCATTTTTTATTTGAAGCATGTGTTTGTTTTCATAAACCATTAAAGCTTTTACTGGGAGACAATTAAAATGCCTTGGTAAGTGTTAATTATCTCAACCACAAAATTCCTTTTCATCCTTACACAAAGACAAACGTAAAAACAACACACACCACCATGTGTTTCGTTTGCTCATTTATCTCTGTGTCCTCGTCCCCAAGAATGATTTAATGTTACATATATTGCTAATATTGCTGCTTTCTTGTTTTAGATATACATTCAGTGACTCATTTGAGTCTTGTTTTATGACATCTGTCTCGCTCAGACTTTACCCAGAATGTGCAACTGCTTCCCCTTTTTCAAAATGGCTACTTTGGCATGGCTCAAAGGACAGTGAACATACCACACACAAACCAATTTAATTGTTTTGTTTTCCACTGCCTAATAAGCATGTGTATGCATGGTAATGTATTCAATCTGGGAAATGGCTCTCAGAGCTCATTTAAAATGAACAATCATGATGCATAGATGTACAGGGAAGCCTTTGCAGTTATTGCTTTAGAGCCCATTGTTTGTAATGTGTGCTTTGTGATGCAAAAAAGTTTAATTTTAAGTTTTTTAAGGGGGCACACATGGGGAAACTGTACTGGCAGACAAACCTACTTCAAACTCATCATCTGCCCCCATGCCGAACCGCTCTCACTCAAACCATGAGCGCTCAGTTTCTCTGAATACTGAAGATGAGCAGATTCATTCACCTCATACAAAGCCCTCCCACCTATACAATTCATTTAGGAAGATTCACCCATATTCTTTGCCTGATTATCAACACTTTACATTTTCTTTTACAGTATATCCAGAATATATGTAACAGAAGAGCAGGTTTAACCAGGCTTTCATAAGGTGTTTAAATATAATATAAAATCATAGTTAAAAGTGTTTTATGGCTTCACGTCAAAAAAGATAACATTTACTGACAATATTTTATTTACACAGGGACAAGACAAATATATACTATCATTCATCACTCACATATATAATTTATTGCTTGGTAGTCTCTATACAAGACAGCAGTGCAGTATTGATCCGCAAAGGCAACATGCATCCAGTGACATTGAACATGAGCCCTATTATGACAATAATTGCAAAAACAAAGAAAAACTCCTGATAAATCCCAGAAAAATTTCTGAGTTGTGATCCCAGAAATTTTGTAAAAAAAAAAAAAAGCCAACCTTCTTAAACAATGATAAAAATAAAAATCTAGGCTACTTATAATCTAATACATGATTAATTAAAATTCATCATAAGTAGCCTCTCTGGCCAAATACTTGTTAGACTAAATGTCTAACAAAACACCATCAGGGTAACACACACTAAATTATTAATGATATATAATTGGCTGCAATATAACAAAGAGTGAAAAATTTAAGGGGGTCTGAATACTTTCCGTACCCACTGTATATTCATTATAAATAATAATAATAATACTATTATTATAAAAAATAAATCATTATTTTTTATTTGAACAAAAAAAAAAAAAAAATATGACAACATGGAAAAGGAATGTAAAAATCATACAATGAAAACGTTAGTTACCCATTTTAACCATATAAATAGGACATGTACTTTCAAGGTAAAATATATTGTCAAAATTATGTTTTTTGTTTGTTTTAAAATTATGTTGATTATACCATATAGGTTAATCCTATTTTTAAAACAAATCAATTACAGCAAAGGTTTCTGCAGTGTCCTGTAAAGTTATTATTATTTTTCACTGTTTAAATGGTGAAAGTTAACGAAACAAGTTTTTATTGTAGTATTATTACATTCTTTTCCCGTACTGCAGAAATGAGAGCTTGTCTTATCACTCCAGTACAAAAGCCTTATTTTTAAAAACATGATTTAACATATTAAAGAATATCAACGGTACAAGATCCATGCAAGTCCATAAGTGCAGTTGTTGATAAGGTAAATAAATACATATGCATTAATTTAGAAGAGGCAATCTGTTGCCTCACTAATCTGGATTTTCAGATCCACAAAGTTTCCATTAGATTGGCTGATGCGTCCAATAACCTTTCCGCGTCCCAGCTCTTTCCCCCGCGGTGATCCCGTTTTGACACCGAGACAAAAACAAAAAAGCAGTATGAATGGTGAAGGAGCGAGCAGGCAGGGAGAAAGCAAGAGGAGGCGGTTAGTCTTTGTAGTCGGTGAGGAATGCGGAAACGCTCCTGCTCTGTGTCAAACTGCTCTGAAGGGGGTCAAGGCACATTCAGCCAGCGTGGGAAAGCGAGGAGGAGACCGAGCACACACACACGCTGCATATTCCTGCATAGATGGGAAAATCATAAAGGGGGAAGGACGGCCATAGCAGATCGATGAAAATCAGTCACTTTTTTAATCCACTCCGCTTTTTTGAGGGACTGATCAGACGATCTTTCACTTGATTTGCTGTTGCAGTGGTGTGGTACTGCTGGGAGATGGGGTTTAGCGCGTGCACCATCCGACTACCTGTGTGGCCCGTTGCGAGGACACTGCACGAGCTGTGATGCGTGTGGAGACGCTGGGAAAGTTACTGAAGTTTATGAATGACGCGAGACTCTCCGGGCGGAATATAACAAACGGGGTAATTATACTGAGCAGACTCCCATTCACTTGCGTTACTTCTACATTCAGTGCGCGTGTTTGTACATATGGGGCTTTGCTCGCACGCTAGATGGATTATTAGAGAAATGTGTTCATGTTGTTTGAGTGTGGACGCTAATGTAGGCGCTTTAGGTCCAGCGTTTATTGATATGCACAGCTAAACAATGCAATCAGTAGACAACCACGTGCTCAAGGCTTGTGTGGCACAAAGAAGAGCAGGGACAATCTTGTCATTAGAAAACTCAGTCTGTTTATTTTTATTGACAATATGCGCAAGGGTTAGATTCAAAGCTTGAGTCTATTACAGTCGTTTACTGTACGGAAACAAGTTACATTAGGCATACATGTGTTGACTCAAAGGTTAACAAGTAGCCTAGTTATGGATTACTGACGTGAGGTTATTCAGAAAAGAATTAAGTACGCAATTCATATAAAAATTATTTGAATAGACATTTTCTGTGATTAACATCACAGAATTAATTCGAATTCTGAATTAAACGCTATTGTGATTATATACATTTTATAATATATATATACTACTAAATGGACTTTCCTTGATATTTGGCCGTAAAGGCGGCTAAGCTAGCTTTGTGTAAGCTCCATGTCTGTTATCTTCAGTGCTTAGATAATATTTGATTTAACTTTGATAACATTGGTGTTTACCTCTGCCTCCTTTTGTGCTCGCGCTCTACAGGCAGTGCACGTGCCAGCGCCGCTCTCCCAATAATGCCTTTGTGAAATATCCGCGCGCTCGTCACGTTTCGGGATTCCCCGCAGTAGGCTACCTCGCCGTGAGAAAAAATGGACAAAGAGAACTTGACCCAACAATATGAGCCGGTGGCTGAGATCGGCGAAGGTGCATACGGAAAGGTGTACAAAGCACGGGATTTGAAGAATGGGGGTCGCTTTGTTGCCCTGAAAAGAGTTCGGGTGCAGACCGAGGAAGAGGGAATGCCGCTGTCAACCATCCGCGAGGTGGCGGTGCTGAGGCAGCTGGAGTCCTTTGAGCATCCCAATGTGGTCAGGTAAAAAAAAAAAAAAAAGTGGGGGGAAGAGTGGTGCTTTGGTTTGATTATAGAGGATAACATACTTCCTCATGTTGTATGTATTTCCTGCAAGGGTGTAGGTTTGTTTGAAAGTAGGACATATTGCAATAAGATAACCTTGATATTATAATGTTTTAAAAAGATTAAAGGATCGAGGAAGAAGACATTGCACATTCAAAATGTTTCTGTTAAGAAAAGCCTGGTGCTGCAATGAAAATAACTTTATTCCTCATATTACAAGTTTCATTTCCTGCACCTTTCTGTGGCCCACAATATGAAATATGACTGCTGACATATCCTTTTCTTGATATCAGAGGATATTATACTCAAAATCCTGTCCCTACCAGTTGTTAAAAAACTTTTAGGTAGGCTATGTTACAGTACGTTAAGTACTATTGGACCCTCTAGTCAGCTGGGGAGGTCTGGTAATATGCAAAATAGGGGGTCAGATGTCATGTGATCTTATCCATAATACTCAATGATCTCTAGTGTGTAGGCTTCTTAAGTTGCTTGGGTAAAATTGGCCAAAAGTTGGTTCAGACATAACCTATATCATGCCTATGATTTCCTGTCACGTCATTTTGCACTCATCGACCCTTGTTCAAAGGAGATCCCCTAAGAACTTCGAGAAAACCGAGACACTTATTTCCATTTGAAGATGGCTGCATAAATTTGGTGGATTTGCCTCCATCAGCTACTTTTCTTGCAGAGCATTATGCCCACTCGAGTTTTAGTTGCTGAAATAGCTCAAGTGTGGGGAGCTTGCTATTAAATTTGTAATAGACCAATATATTGGCTAATTTGAGATTACTGGCATTGGATGATAGTCATCCTAACTTGGCCACTGAATTTTGAGAAAATATTATGTAAATGTAGTGTTATTTTAATTTGAGCCTTTTTACTGCATTCCTTTTGCTATACTGGTATCAGCATTGGCCCCTGATATAACCTTGTCTGTCAGTCACTAGCCATAATGATAAAATGAGTCATCTTTCCTAGGTATAAAAGCAGAGCATCTCTGCAACATTATCTAGTGAACCAAACCACAGTGTCTTCTCTCTTTGCATTTAAGATGAGGATGTCTTCAAGGAACAGCTATTCGGCTTCCATTGTTTTGATAATTAGAGTGTCAAATGCAAATCGTACCATTGACACATGCACCATCTGACAATTCACCTTTCCTGGTCAACTGAAACGATATTCATTGTTGACCTTTATGTGCAGATGTGAAACCATTGATGCGCAAATATCTGTGAGTAATCGGCTGTCTTTTTCAACTGTGAATAGATGTATTTTAATTACTTATCGTCCGTGTCTGGCATCAAGGTCATCTTGTATTGTTTTGGTAATGTGTGTTGATATTTTTAGCTTGGTGGCTTATGAATGTCAAAATGGGTAGGTGGAAAGTCTTGTTTTTAGATCATCAATGACTCCGTCAGGGGAGTTCTTGTTCTGGTTCATTCAACTGATGACTGAACTCACGTCATTGGCTGGCCTAGCTCAAGGCTTTAACCTTGCCATGGACTGTTGTGCACTAAAAGCTGCTGAACATGTTTACTTTAGTCTTTTGGCTAGACCAGACTAGGTCTGGATTGCAAATGTAAATTTTGCTGGTTTGTAATTTGTCCATGGAGCAAATTAATCTTTTTCATATTGTTTTTCCATTTGTTTTCCCCTTTGCTCTAATGACAACAGCACTCAAGCTGCGTGAACTATACAGGTTTGTCAAAAACCTGATGATCATGTTCTCCAGCATGATTTGAAATGTTCCAAAGAGCATTTTGAGCTTCAATAGAAGAACATGATCAGTGTCCTGATTAGTGACCTAGAAATAGTGCATAATCTGAAATATTTCTCATTCGTTATACATCAAAAGCTTTTTTTTAATCTTCCAACTTTTTAAATTCTTTTATTGGGGTTGCAGACTTTTGGACCCCAATGTTTTAAGTATATGTGGAATCTATAGAACAGATTTTTTTTGTATAGCGCAAGGCATGAAAGTGAATGGAAGAAAATTGTTTTAAATGAAACACTAAACAGTGTTAAGAGATGTAGGGGCCTGAGAAACCTATAGGGCCGTATGTTTGGAACGCTGTGAAAGTGCAGGCAACCTCTCAGTGCTTATAATGAGAATATTATTCATGCCATATGTTTTGCTGGTTAAGAGGCTTCATTGTGGAGGCACAATCTGGATTCCAGCAGAAGCGTTTCCTGGAGAGTTTTAGTTTATGATGTCATGGGATCGAGTAACATTACCATGAAAGATTCTTTTTGTAGATTACGGATATTTGACTTTGTCTTTCACTAAAAGTCTGGGATTATTCATTATCTTTGCAAGTGACGTCAGGCAATTAGAGAACTCTTCCCCTTCTGTCAAATATCTTATCTTGTGATAGAGCATGCATCTATGTCCTTGAAGAACAAGTAGGAATTTTAAGGTTTTGGCCCTCTTGCATTGAGGTGATGCTATGCTGACAGGTCATGCCAATGTTATTTTGAGGACAGCGTCAGCCTGTCTTGTTTAGAAGGTTTCTGCTCCATTAAACTCGTCATTGCAGATTATATTGTAGAATTCGCTTGCTCAATTCATATGTATTCTATGAACTTGTCAAATACTAAATATACTAAATAAGTAACAGAGATCACTCAAACAGCTTTTAATGAAAGCATTCTTGATTATGCCTTTCCCTTGTTTAGGTTGTTTGACGTATGCACAGTTTCCAGGACTGACCGGGAAACCAAACTAACTTTGGTCTTTGAGCACGTGGACCAAGATTTAACCACATATTTGGAGAAAGCACCTGATCCAGGAGTGCCACCTGAAACCATAAAGGTACCATCACACCAGCAAATTAATCTCAGTACTGACAATCAGGCAAAGAAACAGTAACCTGATGCATTCAGCCCTAGAACCACCATCAACTAGGGATGTAACGATTCACTCAACACACGATTCGATTCGATTCACGATTTTGATTTCACGATTCGATTCACGATTTATTTTTAACAAAATTAGATTTAAGACAAATTATAAATTACATGTGTCCTTTTATTATTGCTTGGACAGAATACAGTACGTTTCTTTGTGAAATTGAAATATAACACCATAATAATATACTAATATAGCACTTGTAAATAAAAAAAATTAATAAATAAATAAAACAGAGCAATCTCTTTTGTTGGTTTTGATTGCTTCTATTGTCCTCATTTGTTAGTCGCTTTGGATAAAAGTGTTTGCTAAATAACAAAATTTAAATATAATGTAAATGTAAATAACAAAACTAAATTGAAATTTTAAAACCAGCCCCAAATCAAATAAATAACACAAATAAAAGAAATCTCTTCATATAAACAAACTAAGGCAATCACTGCATTTTAATCATGATCCAAACAAAGATGCAAAAAGATGCAAAGATGCAACATGAGCAGTTTTTAATCTACATTGTATAATTTCGAAATTTGAAGCAAAAACAGAATGGTTTGACTGCAGTTGTGTGATACTATGCAGAAAAAATATCAGTATGAAACAGAAACAGCAGACGAGCTGAA